CCAGGATCATAGGACTCAACGACTACAGACCTGTAGCACTTACGTCTGTCGTCATGAAGTCTTTTGAACGCCTGGTCCTCTCCCATCTCAAGTCCTTCACCTCCCCCCTCCTGGACCCCCTGCAGTTCGCCTACAGAGCCAACAGATCTGTTGACGACGCCATCAACCTGGCCCTCCACCACACCCTACAGCACCTGGACTCCCCAGGGACCTACGCCAGGGTCCTGTTCGTGGACTTCAGCTCTGCCTTCAACACAATCCTGCCATCCCCGCTCCAGGACAAGCTCTCCCAGCTCAACGTGCCCGATTCCACCTGCAGGTGGATCACTGACTTCCTGACGGACAGGAAGCAGCGAGTGCGTCTGGGGAAGATTGTCTCGGACTCTCGGATTATAAATACAGGAGCCCCACAGGGCTGTGTTCTTTCTCCCCTGCTCTTCTCCCTGTACACCAACCACTGCACTTCCAGCCACGACTCCGTGAAGCTGAGCAAGTTCGCGGACGACACCACCCTCATAGGACTCATCTCCAACAACGATGAGTCCGCCTACAGGAGGGAGGTGGACCGGCTGGTGTCCTGGTACAGTGGTAACAACCTGGAGCTGAGGAAGAGCACTGTCCCCCCGCCCCCACCCTCCGTGATGGACTCCCCCATCACCTCTGTGGAGTTCTTCCGTTTCCTGGGCACCACCATCACCCAGGACCTCAAGTGGGAGTCGACCATCAGCTCCCTCATCAAGAAGGCCCAGCAGAGGATGTACTTCCTGCGGCAGCTCAGGAAAGCCTGGCTGCCTGCACGGATGTTGGTGCAGTTCTATACGGCCATCATCGAGTCCATCCCCGTATGGTTCGCTGGAGCCACAGTCAGGGACAAACAGAGACTACAGCGCATTGTGCGCTCTGCAGAGGAAGTGATCGGCCGCAGCCTTCCATCGCTGCAGGACCTGTACGTCGCCCGAGCTCGAGGCCGGGCTGGTCGTATCACAGCCGACCCCTCTCACCCTGCACATGGACTATTCCAACCACTCCCCTCAGGCAGGAGACTGCGGTCCATCAGGACTAGAACCTCCCGCCACAAGAACAGTTTCTTCCCCACTGCTGTTGGACTCTTGAACACTTCTTAACCTGTCCCCCCGCCCTTTATAAAGTCACTTTACTGCCCATCATACGTCACTTTACTTCACTGTACTGCTGTCACCTTACATTGTGTGCACCATGTGCACTTGTATATTGTAAATAGTAACTGTAACTCTATTTTAAATTAAAATTTATTCCTTAGAAGTATTTTTTATTCTTTATTTTTATTATCACTTTCTGACTGTTGCACTGAGCCAAAGCAATTTCCAAGTCTGTGACTTCCTGTTACTTACATGGCAATAAAAAATATTCTGATTCTGATTAAAAGGAAAGCCCATTCTCCCACCAGGCTTGTTCGAACCATCCAATATTTATGTCAGGCGTCGATGGAGGCAAGTGCAATACATCGCTGGACTTTTCTGGAAACGATTGACAGAGTGTCTACTTGTGATGCAAGAAAGACAGAAATGGACTAAAGTTAAGCGGAACCTCTCTCCAGGTGACATTGTGGTCATTGCTGATTCAACAGCTCCAAGAGGATCCTGGATGATGGGCAGAGTTTTGAGCACTACATCAGACTCGAGAGGACTGGTTTGCTCCGTCAGAGTCCAGTATCCTTGAGAGGCCCGTTACCAAGCTCTGTCTCCTCCTGGAGGCCACCACTTGATCTTATTCAGTCTATCTCTCCCTCTATTTCTATTTTCCTCTTGTTTTACCAGAAGATCACGTGGGAGAGTTAGCTAATAGTAATAGGTAGAAAAAAGCTCTATTTGCTGCTGCTAAGGTTAATTGTGGGATGCACAATTAGGGGCTGGGTTGTTAGAGCTATTTGTCTATTGTTGATTCTAATTATGATCTACTTTAGTTAGTTATTTTTCTTAGTTTGCAAAGATAATTTTGGGTTAATTATTGCTTATTTAATTTAATTTGGTCACAAAAAAAAATAGGGTTATGGGGGGAGGGCGCAGCATAGAGGCGTTTTGGGCATATGGTTTTTTACCTGCGAGAGGAGAGGCTGCAGTTCTGCATATTTGCCATTTGCTTGGAGAATAAACCCACCTAAAATGCAATTTTGTTTGGACATTATGTTTTCTCTACCCTGCGTAAAGCCAACCTGAAAACGCCTTAGTGGCCTTTTGATTTCTTTTGGTTTAAGTTGGACATGGTTTAAGTTATGGACAAATCGCCACTACAAGGTGTGAACATTCAGCAGTCATTAGATAAGGCCCAACTTTTTACTTTTCTGTTATTATTTTAAAACAGAAACAGACTTATTTTACTTTCACTTCTCAGTTGTCTGATACTAGTGAACTCTCAGTAATAAAAATCAAAAGACAATCTTATGTGTATGGTTGTAAACATGACATGTGCTACAGTTCAAGCTGTATGAATCCTTTTGAGAGATACTGTATTCTGTTCATTGCTATTCACCCAATATCCCATTGTCTGTTTCAAGCCATGATGATAGGACTCTTCGATCCGGCCTCTTTGACCTGCACCTGTCCTCGGATGGAGCCTCTTCAGTCCTGGGTCTACAGCCTCCGACTTTCTGATCCCAGTGACACTGATCCAAGACCAGAACCAAATGGAACTGGATCAAATGTTGAGGTCTTTGAAAACTATACAAACCATGTAGTAGTTGGAACATTCCTGCGGAGGAGCAACATCTCTTCACAAAAAGTGTTGCCCTCTAGTGGAGACACTGCACTATTGTGTTGTCTTTGCTGCAGAGGTTTTTGTTCAGAGTGTTGGTGTTTCCTGTCAGTGTGGGCTGCAGAGCACAGTAGTACACAGCAGAGTCACTCACACCCACAGACTCCATCTTCAGAGACAAAGAGTTCCCCACAAGCTCAGCAGCAAACTTAGATTTATCAAACTCTGGAGAATTGATGTCGCTTCCGGGATAGATCTTCATCATGTATTTTGGAGCTCCTCGTCCTTCCTGCTTGTACCAGTACAGATATGGGAAGCGATCAGTGGTTATAAAGTTGCAGGTGAGTGTGTGAGTGTGTCCCTCTCTCACTCGGTCCTCTCCTGCTGCCTGCTTCACTGTGTCTTGTCCGTTACACTCTGGAGAAGAACTCAGCAGCACAAGCAGAGCTGAGAGCAGTGGACACAGGACACACTCCATCTTAAAGCTCAGATCCTCTCAGTGTGTGCTGCTCTCTTTAGCTTCTGTTTTAGCTCCTCCCACCTTAGAGCTCAAACAGTAGTCCTTCTCCACCCATCACCTCCTCACAGTGGGACAGTCTTATGTCATCAGATTTCACCAGCACCAGGGTCTAGAGGGAAATTATTTTCTCCGGGGGCCACATATCAGTATATAATGTAGGGCCAATCTAATTTTTGTGTGATGTGGCCACCATTTTATGGAAATTATGATGTTATGAACTAAGATAAGATATTCCTTTATTCGTCTCACAGTAGGGATATTTCAGTGTCATTGTTGCGCACATTACAGCAGAAAAGGAAGGAAATAAGAGCACTCAGATTGCACACATCCAACAGAGTCTATTATTTAAGATAATAGACCATGTAACTAAATACGATAATAAGATGGTAAAATAGAATAAAATGAAATAAACTCTGGAGCTATAATTGCATTTTGTTCAGAAGTATTTACAGATGTGTATATTGTACTTTAGCAGCGGAGAATATGAGCAGAATAAACATCAGTAATAATATCAACAGAAATGGATATGATTTTTTGTTATTAGAGCTTAAAGCTGCACTAACTGACTTTGGGATTTTGAAGCCGCGGACTCGCTGGCCTCTCTCTTTCTGCTCCCCTCCCCGCACCCACGAAGCTATCTCCCCCCACACACACCCACTGTTGGGACGGAGTTAGCGTCTCCCAATATGGATAATACACGAATATGGATTTGCACGTGGATGGCGTGACCATAGAACGATAGAACCGGGAAGAGCGGAGGAACGGGGCTTTCTTTTGGATGGCTGTCTTGCTGTGTAAGCAGTAACCGGTGACGAAGACACACAAAGTTTCAGGTTAGCTCCTCGGCTTGTTGTGCTAACTCAGCCGTCTATGCTAACGGACCTGTAGATTTCTCACGAAAGTGGGGGCTAGTGGTGCGCTGCGATTGGTCACAATCTGCGACCCGAAACACATTCTCTTCCTTGTTTCATCAAAACTCGATCTAAAATATAATGTCACGCCAGCACAAATCTGCGCTACTTTTTCTTCAAAATGATGTATATCCCAATGCACTACATGGACATGGATAGCATTTTCGTAATGAATACAAAAATAAAGTCAGTTAGTGCAGCTTTAATTCTTTCTAGCATTGAACCAAACCTGGACTAAAGCACATACATTTTGAGTATTTATGTGTGTTGTGTGGAATAAGAATTGACCTCTGATAATACAGTTAAGAGAAGTGATTGTGTCAACACTTAAATCCAGTGAAAGAATAAAGGTCTGTACTTTGCTATTATCCACTGTCTCATTGCTTTTTCATGGCATGTTTATCCTAGTGGTCAGGTGATGCTACTATAAGTACAAACACAAATCTGTGTAATAATAACATTATAATTGGTGTGTAACAAGGTCCCCACTAGGATAGTACTGTATAAAAGACCATTGTGATCACTTTTAACACTATCACACACTGTTTCTAGTTCACCGGGCACTTGTCTACATCCACAACATTTTAAATATACTTTACACTTATATACTGTTCTTATATATATATACTTATATACTGTTCTACTGTACTTTCACAACTGTTTTTTAAATCGTCACTCGTCAGTTTCTCACACTGATAGTTGGTTTGGCAGCGTCTGACTCTGAGTCTCACAGAGAGTGTCGCCCTCTAGTGGAGACACTGCACTATTGTGTGGTCTTTGCTGCAGAGGTTTTTGTTCAGAGTGTTGGTGTTTCCTGTCAGTGTGGGCTGCAGAGCACATTAGTACACAGCAGAGTCAGTCACATCCACAGCCTCCATCTTCAGAGACAAAGAGTTCCCCACGAGCTCAGCACCAAACTTGGATTCATCAAACTCTGGAGACTTTATTACGTTTCCCGTATACTTGTAGATCTTCATTATGTACTTTGGAGCACCTCGTCCTTCCTGCTTGTACCAGAACAGAGTTGGATAAGAAGAGTTGGTTGTAAAGTGGCAGATGAGTGTGTGAGTGTGTCCCTCTCTCACTCGGTCCTCTCCTGCTGCCTGCTTCACTGTGTCTTGTCCGTTACACTCTGGAGAAGAACTCAGCAGCACAAGCAGAGCTGAGAGCAGTGGACACAGGACACACTCCATCTTAAACAGCCCTCTCATGTTTCCTTTGCTTCTTCTAAAGTCTGAGTCTTTGTGTCGACTCTTCTGACTCCACAGCTTTTAGGAGGAAGTGCTCCTCCCACAGATCTCTGTTCAAATGAAAACACACACACACACACACACACACACACACACACACACACACACACACACACACACACACACACACACACACACACACACACACACACACACACACACACACACACACACACACACACACACACACACACACACACACACACACATGCTAAACAGTGCTAGATTTGCACCATAAGGTTTGATTTTAGTCTAATCTGACCAAAGCACCTTCTCCCACATGGTAGCTGTGTCCACCATATAACTTCTGGCAAACTTAATAATGGCTTTCTTCTTTGTCACTCGTCCATAAAGGCCAGATTTGTGTAGAGACTGATAGTTCTCCCTTATACAGATTCCCCCAGCTCAGCATCAGTACTTCACAGCTCCTCCAGAGTCATCTTGGGACACTTGGTTGTCTTTCTGACCAGTGCTGTCTATGTTCGATCTGTTAGTTTAGGTGGACAGCCATGTCTTGGTAAGTTTGCAGTGATGTCATACTCTTTACATTTATGAATGATGTTGAACAAATGTTTTTATACTGAGAGTAGACTACACACTATTTAATTATTAGGATAAAGTGTGAACATTCAGCAGTCATTAGAAAAGGCCCAGCGTTTCACTTTTCTGTTATTATTTAAAAACAGAAACATACTTATTTTACTTTCACTTTCACAGTTGTCTGATACTAGTGAACTCCCAGTAATAAAAATCAAAAGACAATCTTTATGTTTATGGTTGTAAACATGACATGTGCAACAGTTCAAGCTGTATGAATACTTTTGAGAGATACTGTATTATGTTAATTGCTGTGTCAGGTGTGGAGCAACCAGTAACTGTTTAGAAATTAATATGCACAGGCGTGGATTTTTATATACTTTTATTTAGTAATAATTATAAAAATGCTTTGAAATGCCCTATGGCACAAATAAAAATAGGCAGCAATTAAAAGCTTAAAATAAGGCTAAAAGGTCCTGAAGCGGCCTGGTCAAAGGGGGGTGAGGGGAATGCGGCTCAGCTGGGCCGCTCTGCTGTTGGGGCTGGGTCTGGCGCGCTGCTCTGCTGGGCCGGGCTCGGTACGCCACACCAACCCTCACGCACACACACACACAATCTGAGGCTGCTCGTTCACGTCCCTGCAATACTCAGCTTGTGTGGCGTTGTACAAAGTGCGCCACTGAGCCGGGTCCGCTGCACTGCTGGGCCGGGTGGGTCCGCTGTAGGTAAAGCAGGCAGTCACAGGCCGGTCTCACATACACACACACGAATTGTCCCGGGTCGCTCGTTCACATTCCACTCAGCTTTATAGTGTTTTGTATGTGAACTTTGCCGTCTTCTCCTTGGAAATACGGGACTGTCCCAGGCTAAAATCTATGTTTGACAGCTATTCACCCGGTATTCCATTGTCTGTTTCATGGCATGATGATAGGACTCCTCGATCCTGCCTCTTTGACCTACACCTGTCCTCGGATGGAGCCTCTTCAGTCCTGGGTCTACAGCCTCCGTCCTGAATCTACAGTCTAATCTTCAGCAGGTGAAATGGTGAAACTCTGAGATTCAGGCATGGTTTGTATAGTTTTCAAAGGCCTCAAGTAGTTTGAACATTCCTGCGGAGGAGCAACATCTCTTCATAGAGCGTGTCGCCCTCTAGTGGAGACACTGCACTATTGTGTTGTCTTTGCTGCAGAGGTTTTTGTTCAGAGTGTTGGTGTTTCCTGTCAGTGTGGGCCGCAGAGCACAGTAGTACACAGCAGAGTCAGTCACATCCACAGCCTCCATCTTCAGAGACAAAGAGTTCCCCACGAGCTCAGCACCAAACTTGGATTCATCAAACTCTGGAGAATAGATTACACCTCCGGAATAGATGGTCATCATGTACTTTGGAGCTCCCTGTCCCTCCTGCTTGTACCAGTACAGATATGAGAAAGCAGACGTGGTTGTAAAGTTGCAGGTGAGTGTGTGAGTGTGTCCCTCTCTCACTCGGGCCTCTCCTGCTGCCTGCTTCACTGTGTCTTGTCCGTTACACTCTGGAGAAGAACTCAGCAGCACAAGCAGAGCTGAGAGCAGTGGACACAGGACACACTCCATCTTAAAGCTCAGATCCTCTCAGTGTGTGCTGCTCTCTTACAGTCTGCTGTCCTCAGCTCTGTGCTCACACCTGTCATTTCCTGTATCAGGCTGAGAAGTGTGTTTACCCTAGTGGTCAAGTGCTGCTACTGCAAGCTCCACAAAAGGAAAAGGTCCCCACAAGGATAGTACTGTAAATAAAAACACCACTGTGATCATTGTTAACACTAATATTCACTGATTCTAGTTCACCGTGCTTTTGTGTACATCACAACTGTTTTTTTTAACTTGTCACACTTTAAGCCACATAATAGATAGAGCTGCTCTTGTCTTTCCTACTTTGTCTGACATCTGTACCAGTTTTAATTTTAGCGGTTGTCTGCACATTGCTTGTCACTCCTTGCCCCCCAGTCTGTTATAGCTGTTGTGATAAAAGAGTTTACAAAAATAAAAATAACTGGCCCTCAGTCTGATTCATGCACACAATCATGAGACTGTTTGAGTCTTTGATCTTGTGTCGAGGAATTGACAACTTTGTAAAGTCCGCTGAGATGAATGCAGTTGGGACTTGAGGCTATACAGAAATAAATTGAACTGAATTGAGACCCAAAAAACAGTCTGAGTCTGCACCCTGGACTTCTCTAGAGCTGTGGAACAGTCCCAGTCTGTACTTTATTTTAATGGTACATCACATGGGACTGATACTGAACACTCTCTACCTTGTGCTCGTCATGAGTGGTTATGGTCTTATGGTTTCTCTGCTTTTGGTCACTTTAAGTGTCTGATCCGTCTTCAAGCAAGGAATAATCTACCAGACTTTTCATGAAGTGCTTTTATAAGTTAAAAGAGTCTCAAAATGATGTGAAAGAGTTCAGCTGAGTGATCCTCATGTGAACTCTGTGGATCTGCTGAGTTTCTCACACTGACAGTTGGGTTTTCAGCGTCTGACTCTGAGTCTCACAGAGAGTGTCGTCCTCTAGTGGAGACACTGCACTATTGGGTTGTCTTTGCTGCAGAGGTTTTTGTTCAGAGTTTTGGTGTTTCCTGTCAGTGTGGGCTGCAGAGCACAGTAGTACACAGCAGAGTCAGTCACATCCACAGCCTCCACATTCAGAGAAAAAGAGTTCCCCACGACCACAGCACCGAACTTGGATCGATCAAACTCTGGAGAATTGATGACGCCTCCGGGATAGATCTTGATCATGTACTTTGGAGGTCCTCGTCCTTCCTGCTTGTACCAGTACAGATATGGGAAGCGATCAGTGGTTGTAAAGTTGCAGGTGAGTGTGTGAGTGTGTCCCTCTCTCACTCGGTCCTCTCCTGCTGCCTGCTTCACTGTGTCTTGTCCGTTACACTCTGGAGAAGAACTCAGCAGCACAAGCAGAGCTGAGAGCAGTGGACACAGGACACACTCCATCTTAAAGCTCAGATCCTCTCAGTGTGTGCTGCTCTCTTTAGCTCCTTTGCTTCTTCTAAAGTCTGAGTCTTTGTGTCGACTCTTCTGGCTCCACAGCTTTTAGGAGGATGTGCTCCTCCCACAGATCTCTGTTCAAATGAACACACACACACACACACACACACACGCGCACACAAATGCTAAACAGTGCTAGATTTGCACCTCAAGGTTTGATTTTTGTCTAATCTGACCAAAGCACCTTCTCCCACATGGTAGCTGTGTCCACCATATAACTTCTGGCAAACTTAATAATGGCTTTCTTCTTTGCCACTCGTCCATAAAGGCCAGATTTGTGTAGAGACTGATAGTTTTCCCTTATACAGATTCCCCCAGCTCAGCATCAGTACTTCACAGCTCCTCCAGGGTAATCTTGGGACACTTGGTTGTCTTTCTGACCAGTGCTGTCTATGTTCGATCTGTTAGTTTAGGTGGACAGCCGTGTCTTGGTAAGTTTGCAGTGGTGTCATACTCTTTACATTTCTGAATGATGGATTGAACAGTGCTCCGTAAGAAGTTCAAATCTTGGGAATCTTGATATAACTTAATGCTACTTTAAACTTCTCCAACTGTATCCCTGACCTCTCTGTTGTGCTCCTGGGCCTCATGATGTTTAGTGACCAATACACTCTGACCACAGCTTTGAGGCCCTCACAGAACAAATGTTTTTATACTGAGAGTAGATTACACACTATTTAATCATTAGGATAAGGTGTAAACATTCATCCACTCCCCCCTGGACTGCCACCTTAACGTGGTGGGGGAGTTTGAGTACTCGGGTGATCCTGGGAGCTATGCTGTCTGGGGCTTCATGCCCCTGGTAGGGTCTCCCATGGCAGACAGGTCTCAGGTGACGAGTCAGACGAAGAGCAGTCAGAAGCCAACATGGACAGCACGAAGAGAAGAACCGTGACGTCGCCCGGCATGGCGCAGCCGGGGCCCCACCCTGGAGCCAGGCCTGGGCTTGGGGCTCGAATGCGAGCGCCTGGTGGCCGGGCCTTAGCCCACGGGGCCCGGCCGGGCTCAGCCCGAAAGGACGACGTGGGCAGTCCCTCCTGTGGGCCCACCGCCCGCAGAGCGGTCCGTGGCGGCTCGGTGCAGAGAGGACTGGGCAGCAGTCGAAGGCGGAGACCTCTGCGACCCAGTCCACACACTCAACATCTGGCTCTTGGGACTTGGAACGTCACCTCACTGGGGGGGAAGGAGCCCGAGCTTGTGGGGGAGGTTGAGCGATACCGACTAGAGATAGTCGGCCTCACCTCCACACACAGCTTGGGCTCTGGAACCCAACTCCTTGAGAGGGGTTGGACGCTCCACTTTTCTGGTGTTTCTCGCGGGGAGAGGCGGCGAGCTGGGGTGGCCATTCTCATTGCCCCCCATCTCAGCCGCCACGTGTTGGAGT